AGAGAAGGACCCAAAGATCATATTCAGGCCTTCAAACAAGGGCCAACTAAGTAAATAGCTCTCAGATTGCCAGCATTGGTTTTTAAGCTGGAATGGGCATCAGAATCACCTAAAAGACTCTGCTTGTTTTGCTCCATACTGAGTAGATGGGTGTAGGTCCAAGAATTTGTGTTTCTCATAATTTCCTAGCTAGTGTTAATTGCTACTGTTGCTCATTTTGATAATCAGTGTTCTATAGCTCCTGTGTGTGTATGTGTGTGTGTGACTATAACTCCTGCTGGGAGATCAGGATGGAGTTGCCTTATGACATACATAGATGGAGAATACCATGTGATAGTAAGACCCAGGCCGCTCTGTAGTTACCGTGAACACTAACTGGTAGAATTTTACCTACCTGAGAGTTTATATTTCATTTGAAGTTATGTCATCTAATTCAGTAGCTCCCAAAAACTGAAGACTCAGTGCTGATTGCTTAAGGAAACCCAAGGACTTTGTTAAACATACAAATTCCTGGTCCTTGCCATAGGATATTTTGATTTAGTAAATCTGGGAGGGACCTTGGGTCCTGTGTTTTGTGATAGTTTCCCTTGACCTTTTAGTTTGCTTCAAATTTGTCTTTCCACGGGCCTTAAATGTTGCTTTTCACAGTCACAGGCATCCGTTTTGCTCTGCCCAAAACTTCGGCTTTGCCTTTAGTCAGGGGATTAGCAACCTTTAAAAGAAGTATGCTCTGTGTTTTTTTATTTGGCTTTTCTTTTCTTTCTAAAATTTCTTTGGAAGGCAGAACAAGAGAGAGAGAGAGAGAGAGAGAGAGAGAGAAAGAGAGTGAGTGAGTGAGAGAGCTCTTCTGTCTGCTGGTTCACTTTCCAGTGAGCCACACTAGCTAGGCTGGCCAGGCTGAAGACAGAGGTTGGGGACTGCACTGGGGTTTTGCATGTGGATGGCAGGGTCTCAGGCCTTAGAGCCCTCATGTGCTGTCTTACGAGGCACATTGGAAGAAGCTGGAGCAGAAACGAAGCAACTTGGGGTGTGAGCTAGCTCTGATATGGAATGCTGCTGGTGTTGCAAGCACTGACTCAACCCTGTGTATCACAATACCCCACCCCTTTTCACGTGACAATCCTAGTGCAATGATCTGCGGCTGAATGTCTCAAAGAAGACCTAATGGACCCTGGGTCTCCAAGCACTCATCATTCTTGGCATGTTTAGCCGTGACAGTCCAGTACATAGTCCACCCAGCCTCTCTGAGAAGAAGGCACTGGCCGTCAGATACTGTAATGAGTGCAGTTGTCCCAGTTTGGGGATCATCAGAGTTGAGGACATTTGAATTAGTTCATTGATAAGTTTAGTAATTTAGTCACTGAGAGACAGGTATCAGTAGTATCTGGTGTGGGTCAGGAATAGAAGTGAACTTTTAGAATAAAAAAATAGACATGTAATGGGTCCTGCTCCCAAGGAGTCCGGTTTTGCGCCCCCAAGTTCCAATGCTGTTATGTCCCAAAGCTACTTTATCATATGCATTTGTGCTGGTATATACACTATTCCAACATATGAACTTATTTGGCACATGTACCAAAGATCGTCAATTACCTTACACATGGACGTAAAGCCTTGACACTTTGATACCAACTATACCATTGTCTGCAAAATTTACTTGAGTAGCAGATCACACAGTTGCCTTTAAAATTTTTTCTCTTTAAAGATTTATTGATTTGAAACGCAGAGTTACAGGGAGAAGGAGAGACAGAGATCCTCCATATGCTGGTTCACTCCCCAAATGGTTCCAATGGTGGCTGGAGCTGATCCGGTCCAAAGTCAGGAGCCAGGAGCTTCCTCCAAGTCTCTCAAGTGCCAGGCACTTGGGCCATCTGCTGCTTTCTCTGGGCACAGCAGCAGGGAGCTGCAGCAGAAGTGGAATAGCTGGATCTTGAACCCACACGCATATGGGATGCCAGCTGTGCAGGTGATAGCTTTCCCTGATAAACCTCAGCCCTGGCCCCTCGGAATTTTTTGTGTGTTATTAGTTATCTACACTGGAAATGGTTCACAGACCACTGAAAGAAAAAGCAATGGCATTTATTGTCATATTTAGGAAAGAAAAATTCTTTTTGTAGAGGTATAAATACTAATATTAATTTGGCAATATTATATGTAATTTCTAGTCATTAACACAAAACAAGACCCATCATTTTTGTTTATAATTACTTGATGAATTAAATCTAAATTCAAGTATTTTACCACGTGTATATAAAATAGATTGCTTTTTGTTTAGTTCCATGTAAAGCTCTTCAATTTAAATTGTTCATCGAAGGCTTCTCAGTCTATTTGTATTTTTCTTGAGCTAAATATAGTGAATCAAACAGTTTGAAGGTGTTACTAGCCCTTTTTGCTTTTAAGCAAGATAAAAACTCAATGTTGAAATGGCTTCTCTCATTTTTAAGGTCACTGATTAGGTTACAAAGGCAAAAGCCTTTTCTCGTTGAACTTGCTTCAATTAAGCCATTAACCTTTTAGAATCAGTGTGTTCAAAAAATCTATTAAAAAAAGCTAAATGAGATCTTAACAAAATCCTGACAATTTCAGCTTAAACATATACACAGAAACCATATGTGCTTAGGAAGAAATATATACACACAGGCATTGTTTACAGCATGTGTTTTTATATTTGGAAGACATTGAAGGAAGAGTTATTCCATACATACATTATCTGAAATGTACATTCAGATAGCCTGCACAGATTTCACATGAAGAGGCAAGGATGTCTCTATTCATGGTGGGTAGACAGACAGACTGACTGACTTCAAACTTGCACTTGCAGTGTGGGTTTTTTTTTCCTCATCTCCGGGTACTGCTTTTCAAAACTGCCTCAGGCTACAGAACAGCACCTCAGATCCCCAAGGCCCGCTGCCTGGCTCCTAATAGCCTCTCTCCATCTGTGTCACATGAACAGCTGATGAGATGGCTCCAGTGTCTGTATTTTGGAGAGTACATCCACCCAGGTTAAAATGCTGGGGTTGCCAAGGAGCAGTCAGAAGCCATTAGTGTGGGTGAGAATTTGCCTTGCAGCAGTTCCTTGGCACAGTGGAAGGCATGTGCACGTGTCCCCGCTCAAGCTTGGGGGAGTGCGTGTGTGTGTCTTTGTATGGGCAACCCCCTGGTGTACATGGATGTTCAGGCAGGGCAGACGGATGAAGAGGAGACTCCGTATATCCGGTATTCAAAAAGTCAAACACCTTTTGTTTGTGTGTAATACTGATTTACTCTTTGACTATTTGGGGTCCTCCCTCCCCTCCCCCCCCTTTTTTATCATAACAGAAGGCAAAGAAAAAGAGAACAGCAACTTCAGGGTCATGCTCTAGTGTTTGGGCAGATGGAAGGGAGCTGCTTTGCCTTGGGGCAGGGTGGTTGTAATGAAGTGGCCTGTCAGTCTGTAAATAGTGAGGGTCATCTCTTCCATGTGATGGAGGGTATCGCATTGCAGTGAAAATGGAAATGTCAATAAAATTAATCTGCCAGCTCTTTGCTGTGGTTTTTCTGTTTCTCTGGTCAAACAAGGTTGAGGGTTTTTTCAGCAAGAAAGGAAAAGGACAGGTACAGGGGAGCCCACAGACAGCCTCTCTAAAGTTAGGTGTGAGTGGCCCAGTGGGCAGCCTGTCTGTGTGGTAGCACACCCGGAGAGAGATCCAGAGAGATCCGTAGCATGCCTCCGGAAACTACGGAGCGTCCAGCTCAGGCTACATTGAGCACAGAGTTTATTGTTTTAGGCTTTCTTGGACAAGGTTTTTACTTAGCACAGGATTTATGGCATTTACGGCTAATGAATGTCTATTCTTAAATTACAAAAACCCCCATCTCAGCGCAATTCCCAGATGTCCTTCCAGGACCCTGGCTTCTTAAACACCAGCAGGGAGCATAAACTCTCCACTTCTCTGTTTTCCTCTTTCGTGTGGCTCCAGGCTAATGATGTGCAAGGAAAACACAGCCATCTATAAAGCCCCAGTGCTGTCCCCGTATTCTTCATTTATTTTGCATTTGATTATGCCACAAGTCGGATCTTGTTTCTTTCCTTTTTTTAAAGTTATTAGTTCAAATATTAATGTAGGGATATGGCATATATTGCTGTTCTTGATTGATGCCTTCCCAAAAACAGGAAGACGTGCTCATATGAATTTTAAGAAAGTAGGGGTCCTGCTATGCCTTGCCAGAAGAGTTTTTCAGATACATAATTTAGATGCCCTGCAGGCAGGCTTTCAAGGCATTTTTGCCGGAGGGCAAGAAAAAATAACTATGACTGTTAAAAGTAAATGATTTTTGCTAATGCACAATTAATGCCAGAGAAAAGCACAGAAGAGAAAGATGTTGATAGAAACTTCTGATTAAGTGAGCACTGTACCTTGATGTGCATCTTTTTTCACCCTCATGATAATGATCAGTGGTGCTCAGAGCTAAAAGTTTTCATGTCATGCAAATGCCAAGTGCAGGGTCACATGAGGAATGTGGGAGTGTGTGTGCCGAGGAGGTGAGAGTTCTAGGAGGGGCTGAGCAGGCAGTGCGTTATGTGCAATCAACAGTGACACAGTTACTGTCACCTGTGCAGGCAGTCTAGAATATATAGACTACAGAACATTTAACTTGATCACCCTGCAGTCTGTGTTCGCTATGGGCACGGGGATGCGTTTCCACCGAATGGGTTTTCTGATGGCGCTTTTTCCACATTGGATTCCATAATTGACAAAGAGCTACTGCACTGTGTCAAGCACACAATTATAATTGAATTAATGATATGGGCGAGTGTGAGACACACAGAATTAACATTTGAAGAGGCCTGGTTTAATTTTGTCTTTTACATATTTGTGTCTCCAATTATACTTTAATGAAAGAGAATATACCAGCTTAATGGATTTCTTTCAACAAGCTCAGCTGAGCTTGTCATTAGCTGCACGTTGTTGTTGGCATCCTTGCTATGTTTTGTCTAATGTATTTTCACTTCTTCCTACTAGGGGATGGTTTAGATAACAGCGTAGCATCACCTGGTACAGGTGACGATGATGATCCTGACAAGGACAAAAAACGCCAGAAGAAAAGAGGCATTTTCCCCAAAGTAGCAACAAATATCATGAGAGCATGGCTCTTCCAGCATCTCACAGTAAGTCAAGATGAAAGAGATGAAGTTTTTGTTGTTTGCTGATTTCTTGAGTTCTCCCAGCAAGTTATACAGTCTCATACTGATTTTTAAAATAATAAGATGCTTGCCTTTTTCTTTTATAAAATCACATGACTAACGAATTTAGCTGTGGTTGTATCAACTGTTACCGTCCAAAGAACACCATCTAGAAAACAGCAGATTTTTTTTTTTTCTTTTAGGAGCTCAAGGGTAGACCTTATTCAAAATGATTTAGGTCCCCCAAATATCATATAGAAGTAAATTTGTCATGCATAGCACAAACTATGAATGCAGCTTTGGATCATACGTCTACAACCAAGGGAAGTGGCTGTTAAGAGCTTGTGAATCTATATACAGTGCTGATTATGCTGTTAACGAAAGCCAACTCATCAAGCAGGCAAAACAGAAAACCCACCTTGCTGCATGCTGTGTCCATGCCCACAGTATTCGGTGCAATTCTAATCGCAGAAAGAGTCTGCAAACGTGTGTTTATATGACAAGTGCAGAAGGGTTGTAGGTGTGATAATGCCTTTTTGTTTGTAGAGTGGAGATTAAAGATTCGTTTTTAGTTCTTCAAGTCCAGTTACCTTAAAAGCTAACCCCCATTCACTTCCGGGAAAGGATTAACCGCATGCAACATTATAAAGTCACAATTTATCTTTATCCTGTTTGCAGTTGGTTTTATGTGTCTGTATATACTGTTGACTCTAAGACTCTCATGACCAAAAAAAAAAATTACAATGTGTTTTTACAGAGGAAGTAGGCATGGTAGGCATGCTTGTATTTTACCGTTGGTTTGGAAATCCTGGGAAAATGGTAACATTTTTTCTAAGGATGTTTCTGGCTGTTGTGTTGTTTTCAGACCTGTTTAGACTAATGCTTTAAACCAGAGGAGCCCATGGAACACTGCAGGTCCTCTTTGATTATCCAACTTGTGTGCTGTGGTGCTGAATGACATTAGTTACAGTGTCATGGGTCCAGGACAAGGTTTCTTTCTTATTTATGGCAGTGGTGGCTGTTGATCCACTCTTCTCCCAGATCTACAAAGGGCAAGGGGTGGAGTGGTGATGGGAGAAAACGTGATAGATTCACATTCCTAAATCGGCCATTTTGATGTAAGGACATTAGTAGCAAACTAAGGTGTATCGATCTGGCCTATGGTGTCAGGATTAGCTGGCAGAGCCAGCGAGGTTGCCTGCCATGGTAGTGGTTATTCTTGCCTTGCAGCTATGACCATTTCAAAGGTCAGGGCCCTGCACTGACTTGGCTCAGAGGAATTAGACAGAACATGCGGTCGCTGGGCTGATTACTTAACCAAAGACAAAATAATGAGTCCTAAGCAAATACTGACTAATTGAAAGGGCTGTAAATCCATTACATATTGGTCAGGGATAATCAGGAGTATTTAATCACTTTTATCTATTCAGGAGCACTGGAGCTGCAACAGCAAAGCCCTGAACCTTGCCATGTGCTTATTATTCTCATCATTATCAAAATTACTTCACAGCTGTTCTTTGCTACATCACCTCAGCTGGAGATTTACTAACCTGTAAAATGTTTTTAATTCGGAAGTCGAGGGAGCGTGAGGGGAGGGGTTTCTCATTTTTTAACCCAAGGTTGGTTTGGTTAGAGTAGCAGCTCAGAGAGGCAGGACAGCTGCAGATGGCTGGCAAGTGCCTCACCCCACAGCTCACCTGTGCGCTGTCATCTTCTTGCTTGGCCTTTCTGGATCAAATATAAAGACTTCAAAACAGTGGTTTTGCAAGGAAACATTTGCATGTGTTTTCAACCTCTCTATCCTGAAAAAAATCAGTGTTACAGAATAGTCTGACCTGGGAGAATCGCACTGCTGTGTTTTACAAATGAGGAAACTGAGACCTAGAGAGGGGAAGTCACCAGCACAAGGTCAAGCTGAGGGCAGGACTCAAAGCTGCCCAGTCTTCCCACCCTGCTGCTTTTCACTACCGTGTGGCTTTGCTAAATCATTGTCACTGCTGACAGTTACATAGAGATCTCACAACCTCAGAGTCAAGGGGAAACTATGGAGAGGCCAAAGCCTGGTTATGTATGAACTGTATGTCAAGCTTCCTGCTTCCCTAGCCTTTCGGAATAGAGAGAAGACTTTCTGCCTGTATCCCATGAGTTGAATTTCATGTGAAGTGTCCCAAGCCTTTGCTGGACCTCTTGCCTTCCCCTGCACATGCCCTGTCTCCTGCTCGGCTCCCTCTCCAGCACAGTGCAGCTGGCTGAGAACTGTGGGCCGCCAAGCATGTCCCCGGGTGTGTGTCGTGGCTCTGCTGCACTACCAGCCACCTGTGAGAGGTTATCCCCACCCTTCATCTAGTTCAATGTATACCGGGCTTTGTGCAGAATTCTCTGCCCAGCTAAAAATTTTAGTGAATGTCTGCCCATGAGATAGGGAGAGAAGACTAAGCTTGAGTTGGGGCCATCAGGAAACCTACTGGTACCTCTCTGAAGTTCATGAAGTCTTGTGGACCTCTCTTTTCCCCATCTCTACGTTGCTTTCCCACGCTCTCAGGTTTTGGTTCTGCTCAGCAATGTTGAGGCAGAGCAACGCGCTCTTAGCCTCTGGTCACCATTTCCTCTCCTTCCCCCTTTCTTTTTACTTCTCACCAAGGGCTGTATTTTTCTCCTCCCCATGACCTTCTTTCACAACATGCCCCTGCCATTACATTCTCCCGGTGGCTTACCCTCCTTTCCCCTCCCTGCCTATTCCTCTGTATCTTAAAGAAATTTTGCTACATTTTCTTTTTAGAAAAAAAAAAATTCCTCTCTTCTTCCGTACTTCACCCCCACTGCAGAGCACAGGTTCAGTAACTTTGATGAGGATAGTCCTGTAAAACTTTTACTTTCCGATCTTTAATGAGCTGCAAGATTTACTCAGCTGTAATTCTGAGCTCAGAAACCGAGAATAGAGACCTCTAACTAGCGACATGTTAATTCAGACTTCTTTTCTTACATGCACTAACAGGCATGAGGGAATCCTCAGGACTAGAGATGCCCCAATATATTTTTTTGTCATTTAATTAATTTCAACTTTCAAAGTGAAATGTTGGCTCTGGCTCACCGAAAATAGACATAGTCTAAATTATTATTTCATGTGAATTTCCTTACAAGTTCAATGTGCATTCCTCCATTATTAGTCCCTTTAACATTATTTCAAACCAGTTTGTTCCCTTTTGTGTAGTATGACCTGTTCTTGTATTACAATAATCCCCGATGTACCCTTTTTTCTTTCTTTTTTAAAAAAGAAGCTAATTGAATTATCTCATTATTTTAATTTGTTAAGCAAATGTATTTTGCATCTCAGGATGTGTTCTTAAGGAGGGGGCTACTGAGGCTTTGCCCCTTGAATGGGCCATTGGCCCATTTTGACATTCATGCATTCATTAACTAGCAGAACATAAAAGAGCTCTGGTTGTATTTTTTTTTCCCAAACACCCAACCAGCATGCAGCAACTTTTTCCAATAAGCCACAGGGGTCTCTCTACATATGTTCTCAACTGCAAGCTATTGTCACCTATTCTGAATACCTCAAAAGGCCCAGAGGGGGAAAAAAAATCCACCTCAACAAAGGCCAACTGTAGCAATTGTTAAGTCTTAATCTCAATATGACAAAAATCATTAACCTTCAGTTTTCTTAGAAGAACAAGTCTCACTACAACTGTAACAGTTAAAACATCTCTCAAATTCCTAAGCACTACAAACTTTAGGGGGCTAGATAACAGATTCGCAGCTGATAGATTGAGTGGTTGGAAATACTTAAAGCAAATCCAAAGTGGTATTTTAAAAAGCAAGGTAGCTGATAAACTGAAGAGTTTGCTATTTAGAGTTGAGAACTTTGAATTTGCTTAGTCTGAGACTAAATAACTATTTGTTGGTTTTAAACCACCTACCTCCAAAATTCCCTTAAAAATTCTCTAGGAAATTCATGATAATTTTAAGGAAATAAATTCATTTAAGGAAAAAGAAATCCAGCTTGCAAAAAATATTGTATTTACCAGTACTCTTTTGCACTGGTTGGTGATTTGGCCTGGCTTCGTGGGCTAGGAAATCCAGTGAAGACTCAAGAAGGGCTCTGTTATCCACCCATGTGCTTTCCCTGGAGAGTACCCAAAGGCAAAACAGAACACAACAACAACAGCAAATATCTTGGGGAAATCCTAAAGAAGTATATTCTTTTGCTAACACATGGAGATTATGATCTCCTAAAAACAAGCCTACCATTACAACTGTTTTTATTTGATTGAGAGATACAGAAAGAAACAGCAAGAAATAATACCCAGACTGGAGGTTTATTCATAACCATGAAAAACTCCTCCATGCCAAGAAGCCCTTGGTGCACTCAATTAGGCTCTCAGGCACCTCCACTTGCCACCTTCAAGAGCTTCCCTGGTTATGTTGGAAAGAATACGCTTGATTGTGGTATAAAAACACAAAGTGCTCGTACACAAAGGCTCTGCTTGCTCAGACCAGTTTTTTTTTCCACCAAAGGTCTTATTTGAAAACATAGGGATAAAGCTCACACTTAGAAGTTATGGGACTTCTTTCAGAGATGCGTATTCAGGGCGAGAAGCAAATTTTATTTAAAAGTGATATCATGCATCCTTCAGAAATTTCAGATGCTAAAATCTCTGTTCCCTGTGCCTGGCAAAATGCTTTGACTCCATCCTGTGATCCTGTAATCCTGGGGTTGGAGAACAGGAATGAAGCCAGTCTCTCATTCACCCCTTACTTAGCAAGGAATTGGAATTACTTATTGGAATTGTGTAAAGGTGTGAGTCTGGCCATAATTTTTTTTTTTTTTTTTTTTTTTGCTTTAGAACTTGTCACTCTGCAGAGACAGTGTACCCAAATTGTGAGTAAATATAGTTCCAGGTTATATTTCAGAAACATTAGTATCTTTTCCAGTGTGTTCATGAGGACCATATGATAGCAAACTTAGTTATGTCCAGTTCGTT